CAATATCTTGTAGAAAGTCACAATTTCGAAAAACTACAAACTCTTGACGATTTATCTAAAATTTAGTGTAATAAGATTAAATAAAAGTCCCTTAGATTCGTTATCAACTGATGTATATATCCGGCACGTTCGTCTTAATCTGCTAGGGCACCTGAGATTACTGCATATACATTCACTTCATTCCTAATTATCTGTGTTCTTTGTATACCAATGTTGCACATTTTTATCAGTGAAAAAAATCATCATATTTTCTTGCATAACATTATTCTATATGTTTAGAAGACAAAGGTTGGTGAACTCTTATCAAATATTTGGTTGACTGAAAGCTACCTTTGCCACACAATGTGATCGTTCCTAGAGTTTAAAATATGAATATGTTTAACTCTTTAACTACAAAACGATAGTTAAGAACTTCTGAAACTGGATTATGCTCGTAAGCTAATAATAATAATAATAATAATAATAATAATAATAATAATAATAATAATAACAACAATAATAATAATAATAATAATAATAATAATGATAATAATAATAATAATAATAATGATAATAATAATGATAATAATAATAATAATGATAATAATAATAATAATAATAACAATAATAACAATAATAATAATAATAATATAAATAATAATAATAATAATAATGATAATAATAATAATAATGACAATAATAATAATAATAATAATGATAATAATAATAATAATGATAATAATGATAATAATAATAATAATAACAATAATAACAATAATAACAATAATAATAATAATAATAATATTAATAATAATAATAATAATAATATTAATAATAATAATAATAATAATAATAGTAGTAGTAGTAGTAGTAGTAGTAGTAGTAGTAGTAGTAGTAGTAGTAGTAGTAGTAGTAGTAGTAGTAGTAGTAGTAGTAGTAGTAGTAGTAGTAGTAGTAGTAGTAGTAGTAGTAGTAGTAGTAGTAGTAGTAGTAGTAGTAGTAGTAGTAGTAGTAGTAGTAGTAGTAGTAGTAGTAGTAGTAGTAGTAGTAGTAGTAGTAGTAGTAGTAGTAGTAGTAGTAGTAGTAGTAGTAGTAGTAGTAGTAGTAGTAGTAGTAGTAGTAGTAGTAGTAGTAGTAGTAGTAGTAGTAGTAGTAGTAGTAGTAGTAGTAGTAGTAGTAGTAGTAGTAGTAGTAGTAGTAGTAGTAGTAGTAGTAGTAGTAGTAGTAGTAGTAGTAGTAGTAGTAGTAGTAGTAGTAGTAGTAGTAGTAGTAGTAGTAGTAGTAGTAGTAGTAGTAGTAGTAGTAGTAGTAGTAGTAGTAGTAGTAGTAGTAGTAGTAGTAGTAGTAGTAGTAGTAGTAGTAGTAGTAGTAGTAGTAGTAGTAGTAGTAGTAGTAGTAGTAGTAGTAGTAGTAGTAGTAGTAGTAGTAGTAGTAGTAGTAGTAGTAGTAGTAGTAGTAGTAGTAGTAGTAGTAGTAGTAGTAGTAGTAGTAGTAGTAGTAGTAGTAGTAGTAGTAGTAGTAGTAGTAGTAGTAGTAGTAGTAGTAGTAGTAGTAGTAGTAGTAGTAGTAGTAGTAGTAGTAGTAGTAGTAGTAGTAGTAGTAGTAGTAGTAGTAGTAGTAGTAGTAGTAGTAGTAGTAGTAGTAGTAGTAGTAGTAGTAGTAGTAGTAGTAGTAGTAGTAGTAGTAGTAGTAGTAGTAGTAGTAGTAGTAGTAGTAGTAGTAGTAGTAGTAGTAGTAGTAGTAGTAGTAGTAGTAGTAGTAGTAGTAGTAGTAGTAGTAGTAGTAGTAGTAGTAGTAGTAGTAGTAGTAGTAGTAGTAGTAGTAGTAGTAGTAGTAGTAGTAGTAGTAGTAGTAGTAGTAGTAGTAGTAGTAGTAGTAGTAGTAGTAGTAGTAGTAGTAGTAGTAGTAGTAGTAGTAGTAGTAGTAGTAGTAGTAGTAGTAGTAGTAGTAGTAGTAGTAGTAGTAGTAGTAGTAGTAGTAGTAGTAGTAGTAGTAGTAGTAGTAGTAGTAGTAGTAGTAGTAGTAGTAGTAGTAGTAGTAGTAGTAGTAGTAGTAGTAGTAGTAGTAGTAGTAGTAGTAGTAGTAGTAGTAGTAGTAGTAGTAGTAGTAGTAGTAGTAGTAGTAGTAGTAGTAGTAGTAGTAGTAGTAGTAGTAGTAGTAGTAGTAGTAGTAGTAGTAGTAGTAGTAGTAGTAGTAGTAGTAGTAGTAGTAGTAGTAGTAGTAGTAGTAGTAGTAGTAGTAGTAGTAGTAGTAGTAGTAGTAGTAGTAGTAGTAGTAGTAGTAGTAGTAGTAGTAGTAGTAGTAGTAGTAGTAGTAGTAGTAGTAGTAGTAGTAGTAGTAGTAGTAGTAGTAGTAGTAGTAGTAGTAGTAGTAGTAGTAGTAGTAGTAGTAGTAGTAGTAGTAGTAGTAGTAGTAGTAGTAGTAGTAGTAGTAGTAGTAGTAGTAGTAGTAGTAGTAGTAGTAGTAGTAGTAGTAGTAGTAGTAGTAGTAGTAGTAGTAGTAGTAGTAGTAGTAGTAGTAGTAGTAGTAGTAGTAGTAGTAGTAGTAGTAGTAGTAGTAGTAGTAGTAGTAGTAGTAGTAGTAGTAGTAGTAGTAGTAGTAGTAGTAGTAGTAGTAGTAGTAGTAGTAGTAGTAGTAGTAGTAGTAGTAGTAGTAGTAGTAGTAGTAGTAGTAGTAGTAGTAGTAGTAGTAGTAGTAGTAGTAGTAGTAGTAGTAGTAGTAGTAGTAGTAGTAGTAGTAGTAGTAGTAGTAGTAGTAGTAGTAGTAGTAGTAGTAGTAGTAGTAGTAGTAGTAGTAGTAGTAGTAGTAGTAGTAGTAGTAGTAGTAGTAGTAGTAGTAGTAGTAGTAGTAGTAGTAGTAGTAGTAGTAGTAGTAGTAGTAGTAGTAGTAGTAGTAGTAGTAGTAGTAGTAGTAGTAGTAGTAGTAGTAGTAGTAGTAGTAGTAGTAGTAGTAGTAGTAGTAGTAGTAGTAGTAGTAGTAGTAGTAGTAGTAGTAGTAGTAGTAGTAGTAGTAGTAGTAGTAGTAGTAGTAGTAGTAGTAGTAGTAGTAGTAGTAGTAGTAGTAGTAGTAGTAGTAGTAGTAGTAGTAGTAGTAGTAGTAGTAGTAGTAGTAGTAGTAGTAGTAGTAGTAGTAGTAGTAGTAGTAGTAGTAGTAGTAGTAGTAGTAGTAGTAGTAGTAGTAGTAGTAGTAGTAGTAGTAGTAGTAGTAGTAGTAGTAGTAGTAGTAGTAGTAGTAGTAGTAGTAGTAGTAGTAGTAGTAGTAGTAGTAGTAGTAGTAGTAGTAGTAGTAGTAGTAGTAGTAGTAGTAGTAGTAGTAGTAGTAGTAGTAGTAGTAGTAGTAGTAGTAGTAGTAGTAGTAGTAGTAGTAGTAGTAGTAGTAGTAGTAGTAGTAGTAGTAGTAGTAGTAGTAGTAGTAGTAGTAGTAGTAGTAGTAGTAGTAGTAGTAGTAGTAGTAGTAGTAGTAGTAGTAGTAGTAGTAGTAGTAGTAGTAGTAGTAGTAGTAGTAGTAGTAGTAGTAGTAGTAGTAGTAGTAGTAGTAGTAGTAGTAGTAGTAGTAGTAGTAGTAGTAGTAGTAGTAGTAGTAGTAGTAGTAGTAGTAGTAGTAGTAGTAGTAGTAGTAGTAGTAGTAGTAGTAGTAGTAGTAGTAGTAGTAGTAGTAGTAGTAGTAGTAGTAGTAGTAGTAGTAGTAGTAGTAGTAGTAGTAGTAGTAGTAGTAGTAGTAGTAGTAGTAGTAGTAGTAGTAGTAGTAGTAGTAGTAGTAGTAGTAGTAGTAGTAGTAGTAGTAGTAGTAGTAGTAGTAGTAGTAGTAGTAGTAGTAGTAGTAGTAGTAGTAGTAGTAGTAGTAGTAGTAGTAGTAGTAGTAGTAGTAGTAGTAGTAGTAGTAGTAGTAGTAGTAGTAGTAGTAGTAGTAGTAGTAGTAGTAGTAGTAGTAGTAGTAGTAGTAGTAGTAGTAGTAGTAGTAGTAGTAGTAGTAGTAGTAGTAGTAGTAGTAGTAGTAGTAGTAGTAGTAGTAGTAGTAGTAGTAGTAGTAGTAGTAGTAGTAGTAGTAGTAGTAGTAGTAGTAGTAGTAGTAGTAGTAGTAGTAGTAGTAGTAGTAGTAGTAGTAGTAGTAGTAGTAGTAGTAGTAGTAGTAGTAGTAGTAGTAGTAGTAGTAGTAGTAGTAGTAGTAGTAGTAGTAGTAGTAGTAGTAGTAGTAGTAGTAGTAGTAGTAGTAGTAGTAGTAGTAGTAGTAGTAGTAGTAGTAGTAGTAGTAGTAGTAGTAGTAGTAGTAGTAGTAGTAGTAGTAGTAGTAGTAGTAGTAGTAGTAGTAGTAGTAGTAGTAGTAGTAGTAGTAGTAGTAGTAGTAGTAGTAGTAGTAGTAGTAGTAGTAGTAGTAGTAGTAGTAGTAGTAGTAGTAGTAGTAGTAGTAGTAGTAGTAGTAGTAGTAGTAGTAGTAGTAGTAGTAGTAGTAGTAGTAGTAGTAGTAGTAGTAGTAGTAGTAGTAGTAGTAGTAGTAGTAGTAGTAGTAGTAGTAGTAGTAGTAGTAGTAGTAGTAGTAGTAGTAGTAGTAGTAGTAGTAGTAGTAGTAGTAGTAGTAGTAGTAGTAGTAGTAGTAGTAGTAGTAGTAGTAGTAGTAGTAGTAGTAGTAGTAGTAGTAGTAGTAGTAGTAGTAGTAGTAGTAGTAGTAGTAGTAGTAGTAGTAGTAGTAGTAGTAGTAGTAGTAGTAGTAGTAGTAGTAGTAGTAGTAGTAGTAGTAGTAGTAGTAGTAGTAGTAGTAGTAGTAGTAGTAGTAGTAGCAATAATAATAATAATAGTAGTAGTAGTAGTAGTAGTAATAGTAATAATAATAATAATAAACGGGTGTTTCATTTCTACATAAATATTTACAAATTTACGGTTAGGTTAAAGTACGACACTGAGAATTAAATTTCAGTCCATAAACTTTGAAATGTAACTGATTTTATTACTTACTTATCACTAAACCTACCATATGACAATATGAAACTAAAAGACACAGAAATCAAATATTTTTGTCTTGGGTTATAAACGGAAAGCGAAAAACAGTGAGACGATTCGACAGTTTATATATCTTCCCTATTGTTAATCGTGAAATGAAATGAAATTAATAATAATATCGTTCAATCAACAACAACTCAGAACCTGGTACGTATGTGTATTAGTCCGATTTATCAATCATTAACTCCAAAGAAATGGTTTGTAGAATGATACAAAAAAAAGATGTACGTTGAAAGTGAGCACTATTAAACGTATCCTCCCAAAATATTTACACAAACATAGTTGTATTTAATGCATTCAAGTTAACCGAACAAATATACTGTTACTATAATGGGTTATTAAGTACTTTTAAGGTTTGCACCATAATTAAATCAACTTTTTTATCTCCTGTCGGCTTTACACCAATAGATGCAAATTGTTCTAGATCAGATTGTTCCAACCACGGAATGTTCTCGGTGTTATCGACATAATTAATATCTACAAAATGATCATTTGTCATACTTGATTGACACAATTCATTCTCATTATTTTTAATCTGGCTCTCCTTTAAAGGTTTTGATGATTTTGCCGGTCTAGATAAAAATATTCTACCATTTTGACTTTTGGACTCCCATTCTGCAAGTGTTGATGAAATATCAATTAATTTCGGTACGGTCACATAACGTATACGTTTACCAAATATCATCATTGTCTAGAAATTTGGAGGATAAACGTAATACATTGTCAATTGATAATTGAAGGAAAAACAAGCCTAGGTTTTTTAAAAAAATTATACCATTGAGCTTTTTGGTTACATGAAAACACAAACCGGCCGGGAACGGAAATTTTAGTGACCCAAATTTAGTTATTTTTTATAAATTTATTTAAGCATGTTTAATCGAGTAATTTTTCACCCCTTAGTGCTGCCTCACAAAATTGCAGTCTTGTAAAGCGAATAATCTCATGTGCGAGTTTTTAAAATTACGAGGGAAATAAGTTAATTACAAGGGAGATTTAATATTGATTGAACACAACGGCATAAACACGCTGTTGTGGGTTTGAACCTGTCCCCGCATACTTGGATTTGGATACCTTGATAGTATTGCTGTCATCTGCTAGAATGTATGGATCAAAACACAAAACATTAGACTATGATCTATTAATGAACTATATTAGCCCCTAAATAATATTAATACATAAATTCATTTCGAAAACTAGAAAAAGTCAAGCATAGAGAATGTGTAACCACTTCTTAAATGATTAGGTCATACAAAATTCTTAAAAGCACCAAAAAAGATCTGCTGTTTGAATGAACTAATGATACATTTGTACTTGTTGAATGCTTGATTTCGAATTATAAATACAGTACATTAGTTTGTGGTTATCTAGTACTTCTTGATCCGATTACGTTATTTCTGGGATTCTTAGTTCATACTATAATTCAAATACTTCTAATTATCATATTGGCGTCGCGATGGAGCCTGCGATGGAACAGTTAGATATTCATTCAACTTCTGAAGCTTTTGAGGATTATTTGGAAAGGTTTGAAATCTGGAGCATGACCATGAAAGATGTTAAAGGTGATAAAATTGTGGCACATTTCCTAACATTCATCGGAAGAGAAGCGTACAGCTTATTAAAAACTTTGGCATATCCAGAAAAACCTATCTCACTTCCTCATGCAACTCTTAAGGAGCTATTATTAAATCATGTAAAGTGCACTAGTTTTGAATGCCGTGAAAGGGCAAAATTTCATAAGATGGTTCGTCGAAATGAACAAAAGGTTAGGGAATTCGTCCTTGAATTGCAGAAATAAGCTTCCAAATGTAATTTTGGTGATCAACTTCATGTGCAACTGAAAGATCGATTAATTTCAGGAATTAACATACCGGGTTTGGAAAGAGAGCTGTTAAGAATGCCGAACTGTTCCTTTCAAGATGCTAGGACTGCGTGTATTAACTACGAGGCAATAAATGAATTTTATATCCAGTCGATGAAGATTTCTAATACTTTGCTTAGTCGTCATAATGAAATACAATCTCAGGATCAATCAAACTTGCGCTCGTTTAACAGTGATTCCTATTCTCGTGTAAATATGAAAGGTGTTTCAACAAGGAATCACAAAGGTGAGATCAAGCTTGGTAAATGTTTATCATGTGGAAAGTTTCATTCTCGTAATTCGTGTGCATTTCGTAAAGCTAAATGTTTTAAATGTGGTAAGATAGGACACATTCAGTCAGTATGCAAAGCTACTTTCCATTTTGCTTCAAGTAGTACTAAATCTTGTAATTTAGATCCCACTAATTCAGCTGTTCCTAATGATCATTTATCTTTGTCTACCATTTCGAAAGGTAATGCTCATATTCAAAAGCGATTATATACATCACTTGGTTCATTTCATGACTTTATTGTGGACACATGCAGTATAGATTCCATTATTCCATTCAAGAACTTGAAATCTTTAGATCCTAACGTTGTAGTACGACCCACTGAAGTATCAATATTGGGGATTACTGGACACAGACTGCCCATACAAGGATGTTGTGAATCGCTAATAGGAGATGATAATTCTTCATATATGCCTTGTGAATTTTTAGTTAGCGAAACAGGACTGTCAATACTGGGTTTAAAGAATTTGAAAAGGCGTTTTTTGAGAAATTTCATACACATAGTTCCCTTTATCATTTTGAAAAGAGCAAGAACAAAGATTTTAGCAGAATAGCATGAATTCATTTTAGCAGAATAGCATGAACCTACGAAATAAAATGAATTCATGCTATTCTGCTAAAATCTTTGTTCTTGCTCTTTTCAATTTGAAAAGGCTTAAAGTGGAGTTGCCTTTCCTAGTTTCTAAAGAAAACTCTGATGCTTTACTTAAAGATTTGATAGCTACGTGTGCTAAGTGCAGTGAAGGTATGAAAATTCAGCCCATAAAACTTCAAGTACAGGGTGATCTAGTCTTTCTTAAAAGATGAATAATTCCTTATGGTCTTCGAGAAGCAGTACATAAGACTTTAAACGATTCGTGTGCGAAAGGCATAATTGAACCGATTCAGTCTTCAGCATCGGATACTCCTATTGTTACGCCACTGAAGTCGGACGGCAAGACCCCTAGAATATGCGGTGACTATAGATTAACATTGAACTCCCGTTTGTTGAAGCAAACGTGCACGACGGTAGAGGCTGAAGATATTCTAAATCGACTTCATGGTTCTAAAGTGTTCTCGAAAGTTGACCTAAAAGATGCTTATCTTCAAATCCCTTTAGATCAATCTTCATCTATTTTGACGACAATTAACACTCCTTTTGGTCTGTTCAAATACAATTTCCTTCCATTTGGTCTAAGTTGTTCTCCAGCCATATTTCAGGAAGTTATGAATAAAGTAGTTAGTGATCTTGAAAGTGTTGAAGTTTATCAAGATGATCTCATTGTTCATGGTTCTGATAAGGTAGTTCATGACGAGAGACGTATTGCTTTATTACGTCGTTTAATTGAGAAGAATATTACAGTGAATCCAAATAAGTGTTCATTTTGTGTATCTAGTTTTGAATGTCTTGGATACCCAGTTGATGGTAATGGTTTTAGACCAGATATGAAACGACTAGCTCCACTGACAAATGCACCGTTTCCAAAAAATCTTACGGAACTACGTTCACTAGTGGGTACTCTTCAATACTATTCCCGTTTTATTCCTAATTTTTCTTGTCGTGCAAATTGTTTATTTAATATTATGACATCCAATTCATTCAAATGGGGTGAGGAACAGGAGTCGTGCTTACGAAGTCTACTTAAGTTTCTTCAAAGTGATGCTGTTATTCGAACTTACTCCCCTAGTGTACATTCTGTGCTTATTACTGATGCATCACCTCTGGGTATGGGCGCAGTTTTAGAGCAGGAAGGTAGACCAGTTATTTGTGTTTCATGCAAACTTACTGTTACTGAACAATGTTATTCACAGACTCAGCGAGAAGCATTAGCTGTGTTTTGGGCTGTTAAAAGACTTCATAAATATTTATTCGGTAAGTAGTTCACTATTGTTACTGATCATGAAGCTTTAAAGTTTATTTTTCATCCTGAAAAATCTTTAGCACGTTCCTTAGCTGCTATGGTTCAACGATGGAGTATTGTTTTGAGTGCATATGACTATACGGTTCAGCACAAAAGTGCCAAACAAATTCAACACGTTGACTACATTTCTCGACAATCATTGCAAGATAGACCTGTTGATACTTCAGACTGTTTGTTAGTGCAGCCTTTACCAGTGAGACATCCAGATCTCATTAGAGAAACTCGTAGATACTTTGGATGTATACTCAGTGCTATACGGAAAGGCTGGAATGCTAATCTGAAACGTAGATTTCCTGTCTATTTTTCAAAGCGGGATGAGCTATCCACTACTCCTGATGGTATTTTGTGTTTAAATGATCGTGTTGTTATCCCTCCTTCATTGCGTAAATTTGTTCTTGAAGATCTTCATAGTGGTCATTTAGGTGTTGAGAAAATGAAGTCCTTGGCAAGGCTCACATGTTGGTGGCCAGAGATAAATGCAGATATATGTCGTACGGCAAACAATTGTGAGAAATTTCATCAGTTGAAAAATCATCCTTCGAAGTGGGTGCCATGGCCAGTATCGTCTGAGGCCTGGCAGAGGATTCATGCAGACTATTGTGGACCATTTCTTGGTAAATACCACGCACTAGTAGTCATTGATTCTTTTCCAAAGTGGCCTGAGGTTTTTTTCACAACTTCACCAAATTCTGATTTCACAATCCAAGCATTAAGAAAGGTGTTTAGTCGAGAAGGGGTGCCCATGGTGTTGGTGACTGATAATGGCTCTCATTTTGCTGCAGATACAGTCACTACCTGGTTGAACGGTATAGGGTGCAAACATCTATTTACTACTCCCAGACATCCGTGTCCTAATGGTCAGGTAGAGAATTTTGTTAGGACATTAAAGACTGCTATTGATTCTATCGCCCCCTCAACATTTAATGAGCTGGAGAGGGGAGTAGATACCTTTCTATTGCAATACAGAAATGCCAGACATTCGGTGACGAAGGAGACTCCAGCGAAGCTATTGAAAGGAAGAATTCTTCGGTCGAATATGAGATGTTTGGAGTCCGCAGAAGTTACATACTATCGAGGAAATGATCGTCGACCATCTACGGGTATTGTTCTGAAGAATGTCGGGAAATCTATGGTGCGAATTCTAGATATCAATGACTTAAGTACACACAATCGACATGTTGATCAAATACAATTCCAGGAATCAGGTGAGTCTATCCCAATTTCGGTTGTTAATTCTAATGCTGATGAGCACATTCTAGATAATACAGAGTCCTTATCCAATACACTGTCCGACAAAAACAGGATGAACTTGAGAAAAAGACGTACAACTGATTACAGACACCTAGACTCCAATTTAAGCTGTGGCGGATGTGGTGTTTGAATGAACTAATGTTACCTTTGTACTTGTTGAATGCTTGATTTCGAATTATAAATACAGTACATTCGTTTGTGGTTATCTAGTACTTCTTGATCCGATTACGTTATTTCTGGGATTCTAAGTTCATACTATAATTCAAATACTTCTAATTATCATAAAATATCGTTCAGTATTGCTATACGCTTACTATTATTAGGAAATATATGTTTGTCTCGCAAATAATTTGCCACTGCAATCTACTATAAAGCAACAACGTTTTCTCTAA